CCCCGCTGAGAAGAGGAACAACAGGGGGCTCTTGTTGACAAAGGCTGAGTCCTCCATTCAAGTTTTACTGCACCATTGGAAAGGTTAGAATCAGACTCCCATAGGAATCAGTAGTCAGGTAGACTCGCTGAAGATGCACATCTGTTGTCTCTCTCATTCTAAAGAAGAACAGTTTTCATGGTCAGACAAAAAGTGTGTTAACCAGGGGGAAAAGGATTTAGTTACATCTAGTGTTGCAGTTGCAAATTGCTTCTTTGTTTCACCCTCCCCTTGCAAGTGTGGCCATGAAATGCATAAAAAACACGGCCCCATCATGTTTGGTTTGTCCCTTATTGGCTACTTTGGAAACAACATGGCGGACTTTGTAGAAGAGGACTCCCTCTGTTGTTAAAAACGGCTCTCTCTAAGGTTACAAAACCACATCAATTCCTATTTTCGTTATACACTAATGAAAACATACCTATGAATATTATATTCAATTTCTACCAATATATTGTCCTAAATGTAACAGACTTGACCTTTTAAATTGCCTGTCCAACGCTTTAAAACCTAAAAAGATTTAATTTACAATTATTTAAAAGAAGATTTGAAAGGCTGGAACAAGCAAATTGTGTTATTGCTTGAAAAAATGTCACATTTCATCACTAATTTAAAGATGACAGAGACATAACAACACCAATGAATGCAGTTAGCATACTGTGTGTGTGTGTGTGTGTGTGTGTGTGTGTGTGTGTTTGTATCTGTCAGCATGCATCTGTTTCGCTTTTTGCTTTTGGACAGTCGCCTTACAATAAACATTTTTCTTTCAATATATGCATATACTGTAAGGAGGTATTCATTGTCAAGCATGGAGACTTAGGAGTTACATTAATACCAGAAACATAGCCTGACCAACACTGGATTTTTTAAGCAGATACTGATATATGGGAGTTAAATAAAGTTGATAACAGTGTAGCAGAAGATAGTGTCTTTCATTCCCATTAGATCCCTTAGATTTTTTTTTGTCAAGATTGAGATAAAAATAAATACTAAGCAAATATTACAGTTATCAGACTATGTCACGGAAACATTTTCTAAATGACTTTATTTTTGTGCTGCAATTTCTTTTTCTTTCTAAGTCCTTATCAGCCGACATACAGACATTACGAAATATTTGCAATAAGCTAATATTGCCTGATATAGCAGTCTAATTCTAACCAAAACTGCACACATCATCTCTGTACCTGCAGGCTTAAGACTAAATAGTAAGTACATTTCCCATAAGTGGTATTCACGCTGGGAAGGAACTCTTTTAAGTATGAAAGTTGTTCTTTCAATGCAAGTAGACCCTGTTTGGGAAGGACACAGTGATTTGGATAATTACATCATTACAAAGCCACATGAGGTACCAGTTGTTTTAGTCTCTGGGCCAAATCATTATTTATTTCATCACAGCAGAATTACCTTTTCCCTCAGTTGTGTGCTCGGCTGGTTAAACCGCTTATTATTGATAAAGGGAATCGAGGAAGTTTGATGGTGAGGAAAATGAAGCCAAGCCATGAAGTGTGATAAATTTTCAGCAGCGTTAAAAAAAAACGCTGCAGTGCAGTTCATTGCTTTCAAAGCATATCTTGAAAGAGTTTTTACCATCCATGCCTTCACTGCTATTGTGTGTACATAAACCGTTTCACAGAAATAATAACAAATAGAACTTTAATGTTAAGAAGCAGTAAGGACAGAGCTGATAAAAGCGATGTGAACATCAAATTATTCCCCACAGGCCTGTGTTTCTCTTTGTAGCTTAAAAGAGGAGCTTCAGACAGCTGAAATTATTTACTGGAACAGTTCTCACGAATTTCAATTAAATGAGAAAAAGATGGACGATCTTCCAATACCAACCTGGAGTATTTCCAAACTGCTCTCTTTTCTTTTAATTACAATGTATAATGTAAGAGTCGTTTACTTCTGTACATATATTCTCTAATTTTATGCCAGACTGAAAAAGAAAACTGCGGCAGGCATCCACACTCACAGTGAGATGCTAGGCGAGCTTGTGTCTTTGTCAGATAATATTCCCGCTGGCATGTTAGGAAATGAGGAAAGAACAGAGTGAAGATGGAAGCAGAGAGAGGAAATTGTACTCTTATCTCAAATCCTTAATAGATCACCCCAAATGTGATTTATACGACAAGCGTAAGTAAAGGTTTGTAGAAAGCTTCACTCTCATTCAGGTGCGGCAGAGCAGGTAGAAAGTGCAGGGAGCCACAGCAACAAAAGAGATTATGTTTTTGATTATTACTACAATTCTTCTATATTATAGGCCCCTGATATCTCACCCAGTCTTTGTCTCCCACCCACTGTGTGTGTATATACTCTGTGTGTCACTCTCTGTAGTGTTTCTTTAACTTAAGTGAGCTGAGATAAAGACTATAAGATCAATATGAGGCACTTGGACCTTATGAGACCCAAATATTCAGTGTGTTGAAAAGGACATTGATTCAGAGGCATGGACAGTGACCCAGTAAACATTACAATTACCTGCTTGATAACTCAGTGTAGCTTAAAAAATGCCATTTTCATTGCGATGCACTTGCACATACACACATCGCTGCACACATCACTACAAGGTCTGAAAGCTGGAGCAATAAGAAGAACAGCAGCCTGACCGTTCTCTCTCCTTACTTCTAACATCCAATTGCTCTACCGGGGAACACAAATCATCAAAAAGTATTTGCGGCAGAGCAAGTTGTATTTTAAACCTGCATGGTACTGTAGGATTTTTTATGGAAAAATAGTTTAACAGTCTATAGCACAAAGTAGGATTCCAGTGTAGAAAAACATCCCTCCATAATTGTGACTCAGTAAATGTTCCCTATGTGCCCAAATTATGATTTGGATTGTTTTTGTGTTCTGTACCAGTGTGGGAAATCTCTCACAAAATAGTCGGAAGCAAAATCAAATTGGGCAATATGTTACTCACAAAAAAGCTACAGTTGCAATATTACATTTAGGTCCTATTAATAGTGAGAAAATGCGTGTGCAATTTCATTTATCTTAGGTTTAATAGGCTATTTCCACTTCTACTTCTGATGCAACAGTGTGGCAGTAAGCATTTTGTAAGAAATCTTCAAGACGTTAAAAGGTGAAAGTCACAATTTATGAAAATGCCAAAGTTTAACTATAATTTAAAATTACTGCATGAGTTAAGTAATAAATCAAAACAAGTTCTCTGCTGTCATTTTCAACATTTTTCACCTAATATTTTAGTTTCAACCTAACTTCATTGCCTATACAGTAAACAAAATGTCAAGTCACACCTGAGCCCACTCTGTAGCATATTCTTCCTGCTCTCCTTCATAGCAGATTTTTCTCTCCATTCCCATTAAGCAACCATCATAGTTTACTTGTTCCTTTTCATTTATTCCACCATACTCTTTCCTCTTTTCCCTTTGTAAGTGTCTAAATGTTGGTCAGAGCTTGTCAAGGGCACGATGCAGGGAAGATAAAACATTTTCATGAGGCTACTGGGCAGCAGCGGCTTGAAGCTACCAGATAAGTGTGCGCTATGAATTTTTACATTATTCAAAAAAGTGACAACTGTGTTCCCGGTGCCAAAGGCTGCACCGTGGGCAAGTTTGAAAACTCATACATTTGCAAGGTGTTAGGTGGCAAAGTGTTATGCGCAGTTTTAAAAACAGCCCTCATGTGCTCTTACCAATCACCTCAGGTGGGGACAGGCAGCCAGGATGTTATTCGTAGCCATACAACGTCCATCTCGACCAGCGTGAAGACTAATCTTGCCATAATGACAGCAGACACCTCGAGCTCTTCACCCAGGCACATCTGTGCTCAATTAGAGCAAATAATTCAACCAGTAACGGCATCTTAGTGGGTGGGTGGTGGAGTGATGGCAGAAAGAACAGGAGGAGGAGGAGGAGGAGGAGGCCAGAGAGGAGCAGAGGTTGAAGAGTGATGTGGAAGGGATGTAGTCTGCTGGAATGTGAACTTAACTGTCTGTGTGTGTGTGTGTGAGCAAAGCAGAATCTTAAATCCTTTCATATTTTTTTCCAACCAAAGACAACTTTTCTTCAAAAATTGGGTCTTGTAAGACTTGGAGTGACCTTTTGCGCATTTTACTTTGGAATAAAGCTCTCCATGCATCTGTCAGCTCGACTGGGAGAGCGGTAGAAGTGGACTGCACATGTTGAAGTGACAAAGTCATTTTAGCAAACACTTTTATGTGCGCTGACCTGGAGCAATGCATTCAATATGCATTCACTGCGTGCCACTGGTGGGGCTGGCCAAAACTATATTAGAAACCACTGAACCCCACCAGAAATCAAATCACACTGTGGTCATAAAAATGCTAATATTTATATGCAGCAGTCTCAAAGTAGCAACTTTGTTTGTGTGCCTGTTTAAGCTTGTATGGTTTTGCTACAGCAGTGTGTTCTCCCCAGAGACAGTAGCTGTGTTGATGAATGGTTAGCTACTGTGGAGTTAGTACAGTGTAAGGAGTGAGGAGTAAAAGTTCATTATGTGTGTATTGAGAGGGATGGTATGGTTTGCCGCATTAATCATTTTGTTTCCCAAATGTCCCTGTGCATGCTGTGCATAGAGGAAAACTTACTCTGACGAGGACTTTAATATTTCATTCATTCATGCAGTTTGGGTGTACACAGGCTTTTTATCTTGTTATCATTTTGTTTTAGCTGTCTCCACATTAGTTTTAAATGTAAGAAAAAAAAAATCTAGGTCTATTCTACATGCTTCAACAAACAAACAGAAACACATGTTAAGCTAATTCTAAACAGTGAGAGATATATTCAAAAATGTCAGAAGTCACTTCTCTTTGTATTTATTTTAGGTTATTTATTATTTTCACATGATCTTGCTACACGTTTGACCTCAAATCTTATTTCCAAGAATGCAGATGAATCCCACTATCTGTCTATCTTTGTTTTCTTTCTGAAGAAAGAATCTGTTAAGTTAACCTTATTCATTAATTGCTCTTCTCCTAGATCCCTCCTCCCAGCCAAGGCAGAAGCCGCCGGCCACTGACCTCTGCTACAAGACTGAAATCAGCAGTCTAATGGACTTCAACTCTCCGGATGCTTCCCTGGACAAAGGTAAGACCTTATCAGTTCTGTTCAACCAGAGCTGGTTGTCTTAAAAGTCGTTTTTCTTCCTGCTGTACCACCATGGGAGGATGTTGTAGCAAGGCGGGGCATACAAATGCATCCAAGAATTAACATCAGCAGTTGTGAGAAAACAGATAAATATAAATATGCACTTGCACTTGCAAATACATTTTGCCCTGAGGAAATCTACAAGAGCTTGTGTTTGAGACCAAGTGCCTTTACCGAGGATAAAATAAAGCAATCGTAGCTAATATTAGCCATCTGCAGTCATCAATTCCTCTCCCTTCTCAGTATTTGCTGCTTGCACCTGTCGTTGGAGCAATAGGCATCAATTACACGTTAATTCTAGCTAACAGCGGCTAATGAACCCAGCAAGTCCTTTGAAACACATCACAGACAGCTTTTCAAATAATCAAACTATAACAAATGCTGCTTCTTAATGTACTCTGTGTGCACATTATTTTTCAGCCAGGAACAGAACAAATAATTGACCACTGCTTGTTATGTTTATGTGCAGTTTGTATTCTTGCAGCTTGGCTTCTGGTTGCATGCTTGGGTGGACCAGCAGGGCAAAAATTATAACTCTCACTGAAGTATGCACAGTAATTATACAGGGAGTAAATAATAGTCCTGGCTGAAAAGTATAAATACATAAATTGTATTTGTGACAACAATGTAACAACTCAGTATGGTGTCAGTAAATGCAAGTTTGATATAATCTGTGTTGAAAAGGTGGTAGTAATGCTGGTACATTTATAAGCAATGTATGTACATTTTACTAAACTTTATTTACATTTTATTCAATTCTTGTTGAAAGGAAGTAAGAATAAATACACAATATAATGCTGTTAAGCATAGGGGTAATTTCAATGATCAATGAAATGTGGATGAAAATGTGGATGAAAAAATGTGGATGTAAATTCCACATTTTTTCATAGTTTCTTCGTGACTCTACTACAACCAACTTAAAATTGTGCCGTATGTACATTTAAACCTCTTGCCCCAGCTGTTTACACTAACAAACTGATGCAAATTCATCAGAAAATATTTCAATTCAGTGAGCTGAGTCAGTCACCTTCCAGTCCTCCTGTAAAGTGATGCTACAATATGGCTCCAGTGGTCAACAGTGAATATTATTGTGCTTTATACCCATCTGCTGTTAGTGTTCAGTCTCCTGCGTCACCATGAATCATCCCGAGAAGTCTTTATTTATTTCCAGACTCTTGTTCAAGTGGGTGGTCAGACGTGTCTCACGTCAGCATCACCAGCTCTCCAGACAAACACAGTTACAGTAGTTTATCTGTAGTCTGTTTCCGTGTTCCAGCCCTTTCATGACAAAAGCTTCTTTCAAGGAGCTGGAGTCTTGTAGAGAGGATCAAAGTAGCTAACCATGGCACCAGTACAAACACATCTTTTGGATTGTGGATCCTGTAAGGCTGCCAACTCCAGTATGGATCTCTAGTGTCACCCAGAGAGCCCCAAGGGCTCCTTTTTTCCTCATTAGAGTGTCCTGCTTAGGGGTCTGTTTGGCTGCCAATTCGCTCTTCTCTCCTATTAGCGTCTGTCGATGTTGTGATGATACTGAGAGTGTTCACAAGTCATTGTTTGAAAAAAAAAAAAGGGAACACTGCTGGCTTTTTGGTTAGTGTGGTGTGCAAGCTTGTTACCATATGTGGTCCTGATCTGCAGTGATGGAATGTAACTAAATACATTTACTCAAGTACTGTATGTATACAGTTTTGAGGTACTTGTACTTGAGTATTTTCATTTTTCTGATCATTTATACGCTACATTTGAGAGTTAACTATTTTACTCTTTACTCCACTACATTTATCTTTTACCTTTTAAGGTCCAGTGTGCAACACTTAGAATTATCTCTTGACAGAAATGGAATATGATGTGTATAACTATGTTTTCATTAGTGTATAATCAATGATAATAAGCAGCAAGGACTTCTACCTGGCGAGCTACCAGGGCGCACTGCATGCTGAAAGACTTGATTACAGTTGTGTACATTTGTTCTTTGAGAGTTATTTGGAGCTAAACAGAGCAGATCATCTAACTGACATTAGTTATATGGACAGATCCATGCACATTTTCAAGTTAAGTACGTTTGTATGAGCACATGTGACGCTCTCTTTTTCAGTACGAACCAGTGCATTAGGTCTTTGGTCATTTCCTGGGTGTTGTAAATGTGCAGACTCAGGAAAAACACAATCACACACACATACACCAACAACCCCTGCAGTGGCCAAGGCCATGTATATCACCACAAGTTTCATCAGAATGAGAACAGGGAACTGAGGGGCTGTGTTATCAGCAAATTCATCTCAGGTCCGCAGTAAGAGAGAGACAGAGAGACAGGGAAGGAGAGGGGAAACAAACGTAAGCAGTGAGCACTGTATCATTATGGAGACAGGTGCTGCTTCTGCACATTAACAGGCAATGATGTCACTAGCTGGGTGAAGCTCGGCTTGTGGGCTTGTTTAAATAGGAAGGTCGGTAGAAAGAGGTCAAACAGGGTGTCCAGAGAAAAATAGGCTTAGGAGGCAAGGAGAGACAGAGAAGGAGAGGCAAAAATAGTTGGAAAAAACAGTGAAGAGCACTGTGAGGAGGAGGACAAGGTGAAAGATTGCATAAGGACATCGTGTCACCTGTGAATGTATTCTGATTAATGAGAGAATATCATATAGCGAAGGGGGAGTAGAGAGAGACAGAAATGAACAAGAGAAAAATAAAGAAAGGGAGACTGTGAGGGTGTATGTGTGGGTGTAGGTGCATGTGTGGAGTGGTCTCTGCTGAGAACTGCCATTTTTCTCATGCACTGACACTTCCAAAATACCTGCCCCCACTGAAAGCCCTCTTATAGCCATTGGGAGAGTGGCACTTAAATCGCCTCCAGCAACAATATCTCAGGCCTCTCTCATGTAATTTACACACATTAAAAATATCTATTCAGAAATGTTCAGACACAATGATTAGACTTGGCTTTTTTAATTTGACTCATCATGTAATTATGCTATAATGGAATGACTGGTTATTGTTTGTATTGTCATCTTCAAAATCAGATTTGGAAGTGGTCATGATCAAAATCCTGCAGAGTGTGGACATAACCAGTCAGACTGCTCACACAACCACAGAGAGAAGGTAATATAGACTTGAGATTGCAGGGGACATAATCATCATTGACATGTAATGGGCGTTTCACACTGTGGCACCACAGACGAAATCTCAGAAATTGTGATGCAATGTTCATGGATAAAGTGGTTTTCTGTGTGCTTCTGTGCCTCTGGCTTTTCTATTAAAGGCTAGAGAGGTTGAAACTGACAAAGGGAGCAGAGCAGCAGTCTGATTATCTGCAGTCTTTGTCACTTTCTAACTGCTTCATTAAAGAGGGCTGCCGACAAGTGTAACACAAAGGTCATAAAGTCAAAAAGTAGAATTTCAAGGGGCCTAGATTAAAAGACTTAATTTGAGAAGTCATCAAAGGAAGCATTATTTGCTCTTGCTGTTTTCTTCTTTCCTCTTAGGCAGGTTGGACTAGGTATATATATATATACATAAAAGTCTCACATTTAACTTTGCCATATATTGCATTTTGATCTAAGTTTAGATCTGGAGCAGTGCAGTTGAGTCAATCAATCAATTTTTTATATGCTCTGGCAACTTTGATACTAGGTCTAAAAATATTCCTGAGGACACGTAAGTGTAGCACACACTTTTGTGTTTTTCTTCATTTTATCAGAGTGACGGTTGCTAAGCAGTGTGCCCGCTGCAAGGCTGAATGTGTGTGATGCGCACTATCAATGCATCCAAAATTGCCAGGTCTCAGACTGTCTGAAATGTTTGTTGTAAGCACATCACTTTCTCTTTAGCAAATGGACCAGAAACAGCAAATGTGCATTCAGTGACCTTCATCTGATTGCTCAACAAGCCTTCAGTCTGCTGGTAATCGTATCACCAAGTCACATCAAATGTATTTTGACATATATTTGTGTACTTTCTTAATATATATTTAATACCTTCTAAGTGTACATTTTATGCATGCCAAAGTATTATATTATAGGTGTGCAATTAAAACCTCTTAGGCTGTAATTACTGTATTAAATATTGTCATTGAGAAATGCTTATATGTTTTACATTTAATGTATTGAATTACAGTCAATCTTTTCTGTGTTTTATTTAAACATTTCGAATCAAAACCAGAAATGTTAACTGCTTGATCTGTATCACCCAACGTAACCCCAAGAACTTACTGTTAGCCAGCAGTGGTTAGGAAAGCTGTTAGGAGGTTTTTCAAGGCTTGGTTCCATGCCAGCTTCTTACTGGTTTGTGAAGTGTGGTCCAGCTTTTAGTCTTGCAGGGATGCTGGAGGGACTTTGCTCACCCAGTATATGTGTTTTGAAGACTTGGAGAAGGCTTATTAAGCATGTCCCATTGGGTGTTTGTGGTTGTACTAGGACCATTAATCTGACAAATCCTGTCCTTGTATACCTGGAGTGAAAGCTGTGTCTGTGGGCGTTGGGCTCTGCCAAAGTTTGCATTTCTGCTTACTGCCAATGAAGTGTTTCTGTTGGCTTCACTGGACCATGCATTCCAGATCTGAGGCTATGGTGCGAAGACGGAGCAAGATATCAACAGGCAGATATGTGCAGCCTCTGCAGTGATGTGGGCATTGTGCTGGACTGTTTCGTTACAACTAGGCCTGCACAATATGAGGAAAAGCTGTGATAGACAGTAACATTGTTTAATATTGCAATGACAATATGACTTGCAATAAATAAACAAATATTGATGTGTGTATATTAGCTATACAGTTACTGTGTCTGCCTAGTTGTTTTTAAATTCCTAACTGTAAAACAATTGAATACCTTAAATATAACTAAATTGTGTTTCTAGCAGCAACAGTAATGTTTACAACAACTATATAAACTCAGTAATATCTTACTGGAAACAGGCGGCTTTTGTTTTAGCTTGTAACAATTCTC